CTCTGATGTTTTCAGGACTGCTTTTTTGGATTACAGATCCTTGAATAAGTTACCATTATTCAACATGCCAAGCTGCTTCATGTTTTTAACAATGCATTGAGGATACAGCCATGTTTTTAAATAAGTTATTTTTGTTTGAAACAATTGTGTGCAAATTGGTAGAAACTTTTTTTTAAAAAAAATTGAATGCTCTGAGCTGTATATTCACCTATACTAATTAGAATCCTAAATTAGAGCAAATTCTGATTCTGGCCAAATTCTGTAAATGAGTAGAAAACAAATCCTGGAGTAGGTTTCATTGTTATAATTAGAAATGTATAAACTTCCTTCAGTTTAGGAATATAGCATTCTCTTTCCCTTTCAAATCAAGATATTCTTGGGGTAGAAAGGCTTTAAGTTGACGCTAATATTTGATTATTTGATTTATATATTTAAAATAATATAATCTTACTTAAAATTTATATTTTTAAAGAGATCAAAGTAGAATACATTAGAAAAGGAAGTGGAAAAAAAGCAAATATAACTTCAGTATTAAATATCAGAGACTGGGTGAACCATTTCTAATCAGGGCTGTTGTGTTTTATGAGCTGCTCTGATACACTGAAATAATGTTTTAATCTCTTAAACTCCTTGAAGCAGAACCCTTGAAAGCCTATATTAATGTATTTTCTTAAATGATGGCTAATTCTAGATGGCTAATTCATAGAAAATAAACATGTTTTTGATCTGAGAAATAGTCACTTTTTGATTCTTGCTACCATCGTTAAAAACTGAGTTCAAAGTCATGAAGGGTGTATATAATGAAGCATTCATGAAATTGTGAATCTGAAGTGCTTATAGGTAGATTTAATCAGAGTTTGCTTCTTAAATCTATTATTCTTACTCGTGCTAATGAAAATAATACGTTTTCTTTCAAGCTTCATGCAAATAGCACCATTTAAAAACTATTTTGAGCTGCCAATATGCTCTTGGAATGAGAGTTTCTAGTGTTTCTGCCATAAGTAATAATTGGAATTAAAGATCAGTTATTCCCTTATTTTTTATTCCGTAGCTACAAAGGTAGGTTGGGGATACACTGTGTTAAATGTTACAACCCAAACTGCAGAACACTTATTTTAAAAATTGTTAAAAATTGTTGTATGAAACAACAGGATAGTTCTTTTAGGTCTTCTACTAAAAATCTACTTAGAACACCATATGATATGATTTAAAACAGCGGTCCCAACCTTTCCGGCTTGGACTGATGGATGGGGGAGAGGTGATAGTTCCATGTGAGCAGCAAGTGCACACATGAGCATGTGCAACTCCATTTGCACTTACAAGGGTGAGCTTCATTCACAAGCACAAACACCCACTGCTCACACAAATGGAGCTTCATGCATGAGCATGAGCACCCACCACTTGTGCAAGTGGAGCTGTGTGTGTGCTCGCTCACCCACTTGCATAGCCTGGTTTGATCACAACACAGCCTGATAGTGGAATGCGGCCCAAGGATGGAGACTCCTGATCTAAATGACTGCATTAGCATTAAAAGGAGACCAGAATTTTTTCCTTGTTTTTAAAGCCCTGTGGCTCAATTTCTGTAAGCTGTCTAATTTTTTTTACTTATAACCTGCTGATGCTTAATTGCATGAAATTATAGCAGAACTCTGGAACTAACAGACTGCACATGCACATCAAAATGTTCAGCAGGTCAATCAAAGATTAGCACTCTTTATATCTTCAGCAAATGCACATGCGTGTGTATACACACCCAAAACTGCTTGCAAAGTAAACTGCAGTACAATATTCATGGAATCTACCCAATCATGGACTTTCCCATAGCAAAATTCAGAGAAAGGCAATTTTCCAGGCAGACTTTTGTCTGACCATGTTGTTTACGGTAAATATTCTTTCAACACTTCACTGCCATATTCATCCTGGCTAAAACTGATAGCAACAGGGACTTGACTTACCTCTGTTGCACTGGTTAGAAAAGTGAAAAAAGCAGCCAAATCAGAAGTCATAAAAGCCTAACTGTAGGACTCAGAATGGGATTGTGTTTTGTTTTTCATGGACACCAAACTCAAAGAGTAGTTAAGAGAGCACGTTCCAAAATCATAACATTTTACACCTCAATATTCTTTACTGATTAATCATTTGCTGCCCTAGCTCTTTATTTCAGATATCATGAAAAAAAAGGGACCATCTATTTTATATATAGAAACTCAATCAGCTGATCATTATAAAATAATGTGAAAGCTGGAAATATTCTGTAGTGTGCAATATATTTCTCTGCAAATGAAATGAGGAAAAAATACAAAAAATGAAAAATCAGTTAAATTTCAGTTAATTTTGAGATGAGTCATTACATACCACTTATTTAATATGACATAAGTGATACAATATATTTTGTGATATGTTCTTCACGTTAGGGGGGAAAAGCAAAATGCTAAAATTCATGAAGCTTTATTTTCATATATATTGGATGAGAGTAAATTCCCTGAGAATCATTTTAACCATGTATTTGAAACGAGTTGCATACGCAGTTAAATAGAGAAACATTTTTTTTTTATTTGATGCCATTAGAATAGCCCCACATTATAAAGCTCAACCTGTGAGCATAATTCTGTTACCCGCTTTTGTCTCAGCTTTCCACATCACCTATTTTATAATCTTTATCTATTCTTTGACAGGATATTCAGTTCTATTTCTTTGCATCTCAAAAAAATAATATCCTAACACCATAATACTGTACAATTTGAAGGTAGAATTGATGAATATCAGATGTAAAATGATGTTGACACTGTCTTCACTCTTCAAATGTCGGATTTTAAATCTTCTCACAAATCCACGCTCTGCAAATGGACCAAAATTTATTTCCCTAAATATAACTGTACCACAAAAACAACAATGGGAAATATTGCACAAACAATAAATTATAATATATGACTAATATATGAATTCTTAGTAATTGTTTGATTAAATGCAAAGATAACATTACATCTTCTGAAATTTCCAGCATTTATAACCAGAAATAGTGGATTTTTAGCTCTCTATTTTCTTTTATTATTTATTTTTACATCATTTCTCTAAGGAAATTATTTTCCCTAGCATAGTGGTCAGGAATAACGGAAGTTATAGTCTAACAATACCTGGAGTGTCATAGGATTCTTCCACAATTATTTTTTTCTTTTGAAAATGAGCACTTGTTCTGATTGAAATGAAAAAAAAAACCATGGGAATAAAACTACTGAAAAGTATCTAATGATAGAGCAGTCTGGAAAAAAAGTCCTTATTCAGAATGTACTGAAATTCTGAATATAAGGAAGACTGTAGTCTAGGGTTCTACCTCTACTTTTTTGAAACAGGAGTGTTGCTTGGAATAATATTTTAGAATCTTTATGCAAAGTAACAAAAATACAAGCCCAGGTTTCTTGTTACGGTTTAACCAACCAGGGATTAGAAGATAAAGTAACAATCCCCACTGCAAAAGTCAATGAGAAATCTGTTTTCCATGTACAAAAATGTCTCAATAATAAAAGCAGTACAGCCTTAAAAGCAAAACACAGTTTGGTATTCAACAGCCCATTATTCCATGTGTAACTTACACTAATCAGTCAAAGGCACTATACACTTACAATCACAGTAAGGATACAGACTGAATTGTATTATTCCTGTACAATAGTACATGTTTTCTTCTTAAGAGATATAATTTACTGATACATATAACAGAAAGATTAGCAGAACGGCTTATTTTTCATCTTTAACAATTTGTATCGTAGTCCTCAATGTATGGCAACAATTGAGCCCAAACGTTATGTTGCTAAGTGAGACAGTTTTTAAGTGAGTTTTGCTCTATTTTACTACCTTTCTTGTCACAGTTGTTAAGTGAATCACTATAGTTGTTAAGTTAGTAACATGGTTGTTAAATGAATTTGACTTCCCCATTTACTACTTGTCAGAAGTTTGCAAAAGGTGATCACATGACACTGGGACACCACAATTGTCATAAATAGGAGTCAGTTGCCAAGGATATGAATTTTGATTATGTAACCATGGAGATGCTGCAATGGTAGTAAGTATGAAAAACATTCATAAGTCACTTTTTAGTGCTGTTACGATTTTTAACGGTCACTAAACTAACTTGTTACATCAGGGACTACCTGTATTCACTTTTTTTTGAACCATTCATTTCCCTTCCTAAAAGCTTTACAGCAGCCTTCTCAAATTCAGTGATTATTAGATGGGTTGGGATTTCAAAATGAGGATTATATTCTTCATATATCTAACATCCATCAGGTGGCAATCTATAGGAACTTTTCTTAAGCAATTCTATTTTAAAAATTTTGTGTGGAATTTCTCCTAAAGTGAGGATCTGAAAGATCGGCATTCAGTTCAGATATATCATCCTCTGGAGGACATTCACTTGGCAAACCAAACCCTATGAGGGTTTGAGAGGGAAGAAATCTTGCAAAGAGCCTCTCCTTTGTTACTTGCAGATATTAATTGTGCAATCAAATAGTTCACTTGTTGTAGACAAAAGTGGAATGCCATTAACATTAAAAAATAACCACTGGAAATCAGCACACACTTTCCTTCCCAAAGAACTACGTTCTATCATATTTTAAATATTGTTAAATTTGTATTGTCCAAATAAATAAGAATAAAAGATGGAGATTTATTTTGAGGTGTCCTGAAAAATAGGTATAAACAGTGATTTAACAGTGTTGTGGCAGAGCTGCATGTTTAAATGAACTGAGGAATTACTACTGATGTACCAAACTGAATACCCAGAGTTGATTAGCTTCTTTAGGATTTTTGTATTTTAGTTTCATTTTATTTTGAGAGATTTAGACTGCTTATATAAGTTCAGGTTTAAAATGTCAGCCATACAACTTGCCTAGGTGCTAGTAGAATGTTTCTGATGAGGAACATCTTGTGCTGCCCTGTATTCTTCCCTGGCTTTCAAATACTCAGCCTTGCATTCTTCATAAAATGCTGGATCACTATAGCTAAAAAAATAGGCAAAATATGTGCATTAATTTCTTCACTCAATTACATAGAAAATGTATAGAGCAAGAAGAATAGTGCTGGGAACCCTCTAATACCAATTAAAGTATATACCCTGTTTCCCTGAAAATAAGACCTAACCGGAAAATAAACCTTTGCATGATTTTTCAGGATGCTCGTAATATAAACTCTACCCCCAAAATAAGCCCCAATTAAGATCGTCCGCATTTTGTTCCGTATTTCCCCCAAAATAAGACATAACCGGAAAATAAGCCCTAAAGTGTCTTTTGGAGCAAAAATTAATATAAGATTTGGTCTTATTTTCGGGAAACACGGTATTTTATAGAAATGCAAATCACTTCAGCCTTAAATGTTTAAATGAGAACCTATCTGCTATGGCAAAATACCTCAAAAATAATTCTCTATGAGGGACATTAATTTTCAGAATTCTGTGTCTTCATTGTCTACTTAAACACATAAATATGAGGTGTATATGAAATGAAAAATACTTAGGAAAAACAATACATGGAATTATAAAAATGTATGATGTAACCCTGCACCCATGTCCTATTGAAGGCTCTATTAGGCAGTCCTGGATACTTTACAGGTATTCTTTGCATGCACAAACATTTTCCTTTGGACTGGAAACCAAGTCCTTGTACACAAACATGAATGGGAAAGCCCCTGGGGAAACTCTCAAAGCAGCTACTGTTACATTGAACCTTCTGGAGGATGTAGATGTCACAATAAACCATGGAAGGGGGATTAATGTTGGACCTTGTGAAATGCTTTGAAAAGCCGTAATATGGAGAATTCATAGGCACAAGTAAACAATTTTTGTCTATGAAAACAAAAGCATATAACCCAGCAGGTGCAATTTCAGTAATAGAAGAATAAACTTCCCCACAGGGAAGAGAAAGAATACAGGTAGTCTTCACTTACTTACCAACTATTTCAGTGACCAAAGTTATGAAAGGGAACCTATGACAGGTCCCCATAGTTATAGCCATCACAGCATCTCCACAGTGATTTCATTGTGATTAGAATGTTGGCAACTGATTCATAATTATGATAGCTGCAGTGATCCTATAGTTACGTCACAGCCATTTGTGACTTTTATTGCTGGCAAAATCAATGGGGAAAGCTGGCAGGAGATTGCAAATAGTCATCACATACCCACAGGATGTAGCCATGCAAAATCCACTTAATGATGGCAATTGGAAGGATCACAACCACTGTCAAAAGTTGTTGCTTTACATTCATTAACCCTTAGTTGTTGGTCCTAATTACCACTATTAAGCGAAGACTACCTGTATTCTAAATAGAATTCTTATTTATTTAACCAGATACTTGCCTGTAACTATTCTCTGACATTTCTGGTAAACAGTATTCTGAAGTTTCGAACTACAGAACCTGATACATGTAATTAAATTTACATTTTGTCCTAGCCCCACCTTTTCCTTTTTTGCTGTGACACCTAACTTAATACTCCATAGTAGTACAGAACATTTCAGATCCCTCCATATTGGCTATCTTAATGTAATTAAAAAAAAACATTTTGAAAGTTTTTTAACTTTGGAATTTTTTAAAAAAATAAATGGAAGAATTCCTATCCAAAATAGTATTTTTCCCCAAGACTAAATCTTATTTATGTATTTTTTAAATTTTCCTTACAACATAGGATTTTTTATTTTTGGGTTTGTTTTAAGTTATCTGTTTGGTTTTGTTTAACATTCCCTTAATGCTCAGTATTGTTGCTACAAATCAAATCATTTTAAAAATAGAGAGACTACATATAAGTATCTTTCATATATCATGAACTTTCTGAATAACTCTAGCAATTCTACAGCTTTCAAATATATGGCAATACATAAGTGATTCTGATCTTAGATAATGAAGTACAACACAACACTTTGTCTCCCCAGTGTGTTTGGCCAACAGCTCCCATTATCATAGACCACCATAGCCCAGTTGGCTGGAAATACTGAGAGTTATAGTTTAACATAACTGGAGAATGGCTGGGTATAGATATTCCTCCTCAAAATGTCCACCATGAAGAGTTGTATTCTTTTATGAAGAATCTGCTACACTGATGACAACAAAAGAACAAAAGGAGGAAAAGTCAACTGACAAGGAACAAATAAATAAAAACCAGTGCAAGTTATCTCAGTGTTCTGATATTATAGATTTTCCCAATTTAGTGCCTTCTCAGATTAATCAGTCAGTCAAACTGATGGCCAATACACTGCTGATATCAAAGAATTAAAACAAGATCTGTATCATGCCATTTTTCAAAATAAAACAGCAATGGATGCTTTGAAAGGTGAGGGCTTCCCATTCAGTGCCTTTATACTTACTAGCCAGTGAGACATTCTTTCAGGAGTTTATTTTCCTTTTGGCACTTTACCACCATAAGAAAACCTGTGTCTTTGCAACATTTGGTAAAGTCTGAAAAAAAAACAAAAAACAAATAGATGCAAAGTGGTTAAGCTTCAACAAAGGAACAGGTTCATATATCCTCATGAAGATGAACTTTACTTTTGACTGGTGCTTAAATTATTCATTCACAGAAGAACAGGTTAAAGGATGTATAATAAAGTGGGCTAAGAATTTTTGTTATACTATATAGATGAATCAATGGAAAATATGTTATTAGGAGATTTAAATTTATATTATGTTATATTAAAATGAATTCTTATAAAATGATGAATTGTTGGTACATGACATCAAAGAAATTATCCAGAAAGTAGAAAGGCATTTCAAATGTATGCTCAAAATGTGAACAAGGTCCATTATGTTTGGTAGACATGTAAAAAAAGCTTTAAAAAATGGATTCAACTATATGTATTGATACAGAGAGTTTTAAATGAATAATTAATTGAAGCTGGAACTTTTTCTTTTAGTATTGATGGGTAAACAGAAAAAAGGCTTATAAGATTATTTCAATTTATAATTACTGTGATGAGATTACTATATGCACTAAGATGGAAATGTTTGGCATTACTGATTGTGGAGGAATGCTTGGTGAAATTTGCGATATGGACAAATGGACTTCTTTGAGAGAAAAGGGTCATTGCTAACATTCATCACTAACTGAAAATTATGTATGGGTCTTTTGTGTGAGAAAGATAAGAATTTTGTGATTTACAGTTTTGATAATTAGAAAGAGTAAGTTATAAAAAGAGGAGGGTTATGATGTAATTAGAAAAAGTGGTTTGACTAGTGTTGTATGCAGTGATGGGATTCAGCCAGTTCGCATTGATTCAGTAGAACTGGTAGCTACATTTTGCTGCATTTGGAGAACTGGCTGTCTTCCAGAAGTCCAGTCCAGCCTCCCAGGCCTAGAACAGCCTGCTAGAAGTGAGTGGATACCACTTCTGGAAGTATGTTCTAGGCCTTGAAGCCCAGGCCTGCATCGAATAAGAGAACCGGTTGTTCAAGTATTTGAATTCTACCACTAGTTATATGCATAATTGCTGTGATATTGGAATATGTATGTATGTATGTGTGTGTGTATGTATGTATGTGTATGTGTGTGTGTACAAACTTTTTCAAGCTTTCTGACTTTGTTTTTTGTTTTACTTTTTCCATTTTTTTCTTTTCTTTTTCACACTTTTTCTGTGTATTTTACATGACTGTATAGCACATTTTATATATGACTGTAAACTGCCTAGAATTGCCTTGGCAAGATGAGTGGCATAGAAATTTAATAAATAAATAAATCTTTTTTAATTCTTTGAATGTATTTTATTATCTATATAAAATCTATTAATAAAAGTTATTAGAAAAAAGTATTCATTCAGAGTAGGCAATTTGGTTTCCAAAAAGTTTAACTATAAAAATGTTACTCATTTTAAAAAAGTATTATAGTAAAGTTTTATATTTGCATAGAATCTCTTAAATGCTGAAGCTAAAGGCAAACAAGGTATAATTGGAAGTTTCTGCCACGTTCTAGCAGTAAAATAATTAGGTATGTTGGGTTTTTTTAAACTAAACCAGAGTTCAGAGTCCTCCAATGCAACCTGTTTTATTGGAATTATCCCTGCCCATTGATATGATGTCATGATACGTAGTTCAATCCTTTTCTGGCACTGGGCACTAAAATTACTTACATGGAAGGAAAGAAAGAAGAGACAAGTAAATCATGGCTACAAAACAGTTGTCAGCCCTGTTTTCATGGTACTTTAGTGGTTATTGTTAAAGAAACTATTGGGCTAAAAAAACCCTTAATATTGGCACTATTAGCATCTTTCATCTACAATCATAAAAAGCAAACATGGGCTTCCTTTATCCTATCACCCACCAGTAACTGAAGCCTGCCAGTTTCCCCTTTGGTCAGTCATATAAACAAAGTAGAAAATGTACAATTCAATGATTCACATAGAAGATTAGATCTGATTAAAACTCCAACTTTCTGCAATCTGCTCCTCCCACTACTGGAAACTGATGGTAGGCATATTATTTCTGACCCTGGAAATAACATAGGCTGGGTGCATACTTTACACTGATCATAAACTTATTTCCTTTTACTAAATAGAAAGCATTTCCTTTTACTAAATAGAAAGCATCTGGTTTAACGCAGGGCTTTTCAACATTTTCACTCATTGTACCACTTTTAGGATAAGGCCAGTCGCCCAGCAAGGTGTCAAAAACTTGACCAAAAAAAAGAGAGGAAAAAAATGATAAAGTACAGGTAGTCCTTGACTTACAACAATTCACTTAGTGACTGTTCAAAGTTACTATGGCACTGAAAAAAACAATTTTTTCACACTTAATGCTGTTGCAGCATCCTCAGGGTCATGTGATTTACTTTTGGATGCTTGGCAACTGATTTATACTTATGACGGTCACAGTGTCCCAGGGTCATGTGATCACCTTTTGCAACTTTTTGACAAGCGAAGTCAATGGCTAGGGGCTGTGGCCAGCTCATCACTCAAGTTGTGGGGTGCCTTTGGGGGGGTGCGGGCAAGGATGTGGGGGGATCTGTGAGTCTCTGGTGGAGGGGGATGGGACAGGCATGGGCATCTTCCTTTCCTCCCTCTCTCCCTCCCATTGTCCCTTTCTTCCTTCTTTCCTTCCTTTCTTCCTTCCCTCCCTCTTTGTTCCTTCCTCCTTCCCTTCCATTGTCCCTCCCTCCCTTCCTTTCCTTCTTCCTCTCTTTATCCTTTCCTTCCCTCCCTCCCATTGTCCAGCACTACAGGAATGGGGAGAGCATAAAAGAGCCTGGAGAAGGCAATTGGAGTTTGGCCACCACTACCGCCACTGTTGCTCAGTCAGACAGCTGCGCGATGGTGGTTGCTGCGGTTCCTGCCTGCTGCTTCTCCTTGGCTGCTTCCTCTGAAAAGAAGTGACGGTCGCGCACAGTGCAGCCAGGAATCCAACACAGCCGCTGTTCTGCAGGGGGAGGAGAGCGCAAGCAGCAGAGGATCACACGGGGATGGGGAAAGAGCCGCAGGTGCTGGGCTCCCTCTGGTGCATTGCGCGTGGCCACAGCCGGAGAAAAGCAGCGAGCGAGGAAGCAGCTCATTCATTGCTGCACCCACAGCCTGGACAGCCCCGGGCATTTCTTTTATGGGCATAGTGGAGCCTCAGCACCAGGCTGGACCCTGGGAAGCTCCTCAGTGCCGAGCCGAAATGCAGTAGCTCCAGCCCCTTCCCTGGATGCAAAGAGGCACTTTTCGGGTTCCAGCCCTATCGCTGCACTGACCTGTGGGCAAAAAGGGACCTTGCTCTTCAGATGAGAGCTGAGCCAGTGACCAGAGGGCAGCCATGAGAGCGGCGGGAAGAGCAGGCAGAGCCTTGACGGGGAGGGCCACCCCACGCCCTCTAACGGTGGTCAGAGCGACAACGCGCAGCTGCCAATTCTGCCCTGCTCAGTTTGCCCATTCTTATTTCCCCCTCCCAAAAGGCGGTGCTGTAAACTTTACAGATTTCTGCAAGCTAGTGAGATGAGCAGGAGCACGAAATTGGCGTTTCTGAGCACACGCCGATTTGCACCCCTGCCCATCTCGCTTGTTGCCGGCGCCCACAATCTGCCCGGCCTCCCCTCTACCTGCTTGGTGCAGTTCCTTCTGGGTCCCCGCACCTGCTATTAACCCTCCCGCCACCATGCAGGGTAAGGTTGGCACCCCGCCCAGATGCCCTCGCCTTCCCCAAGCATTTTTACTCATCTTTCAACTGCACTCCCTTTCTCCTTTTGCTTCTCTGCCTTCACCACGTGTTTGTGGGTAAAAAAGAAAAAAAAGTTCCATGAGACTTTCTAACTTCTCGTGTTTGTCTCACAAACACACGAAGGTTGAGAAGGACAGGAGAAAGGGAATGCTGCTGAAAGCAGGTGAGTAAAAAAATGCTTGGGGGAGGTGAGGGCATCTGGTGGGGGCGGGGGGTACCCAGGCAATGCATCGCGCAGCTCCAGCGGAATCTCCACTGTAGACTGCTTGAGGCTGCCTGCTATCCCCAAGGCCGCCGCCACTCAACTGGAACTGCGCCCTTTGATCCTGGGTTCTCAATAGAACCCAGGCAGCGTGCAATTCCAGCTGACTTTGCCATAAGCCTGTGCGGTGCTGCTGCCACTTCACCTCATCCACTTTTACACCTTTTTACATTTTTTTTACATTTTTTACATTTTTTTTCAACCTGTCCTATGCGTAGTACCAGCCAGGTGTTCGCGTACCACTGGTGGTTGAAAAACCCTGGTTTAACATTATGCATGAATTTATCTGTTGTTTGTGCTGGCTTAGAGTAATGTTTGAGCAGAGCCAAAAGGTAAATCAAAAACTGATTCTAGAGCTTTTATCAATTAAGAAATTGGAGTCTAATGTTGTAAAGAAGCCTTGGTTCAGCTCTCTCCTCAAAAAGCCACTGCTGGATATCACCATACTGGTCAATGTTCCTTTAATGTTCAACTTTTCCATTTTAGGGAACATTGTAAAGAAAGTAGTTGGATAAAATAGATTATGTTGCTCCCTTTCAGTCAGAATTCAGGCCATGAAACGGGATGGAAAAATGGTATGGGTTGTGCTTTTGGATGACTTCTGAAAGAGCAGAATTGGAATAGTGCATCCTTGGTGCTCTCTGCTAGCCCTGATGATGTTACTTAGTTGGGTAATGAAACATCTGCAAGAAAATAAGCAAGCTCAGAGAGTACCTCATTTCAACTCTGAACTACAAATACTCTCTTGTATTGGTGTCAGTTATATATTTCTTCCTCAGCATCAGGTAAGTGCTGTTGTTGATATCCTTTCTTGGTGCCTGGAAGCAGTGAGGATCTGGAGAGAGAACACTTAGGTTCAGCTAAAGCCTGGCAAGATTGAGTCACTTTGGTTTTTGGGATTTCCTGTATCTCTGCATTTACCATCTTTGGTGCTGGATGAGGTTGTAGTACACCAAACATAGCTGCAACTGGAAGTTCTTCTCTACTCATGATTCCTGCTCACAGAGCAAGTGGC